AAAAAAAAAAAAAAAAAAGTCAATTATACATTTTCAAAATTTTCAGCAAAATGATATAAAACTGCTCCCATGTTACTAATATAAATAGCCCAAAATCATTTTTTTTTTTTTGTTCCGGCGGCGATCTCCTCTTTCCGTAGCAAATTTGGTTCGTTCTTAAGCTTCCCATGGCGGATCACGGCAAGGCCAAATCGGACATCTCCTTCGCCGGAACTTTTGCCAGTAGTGCTTTTGCTGCTTGCTTCGCCGAGGTAGTATACTCGTTCGTTTTGCAGTTTTGGTTCTCCTCTTTTTTTTTTTTTGTCCATATATTTTTTTCTTCGTGCATTGATAGTTTCAGTGTAGCTACAGTTTTGTGTTTATGTGTTTGTTCTGTTTCGTGCATTAATATTTTAAGCTGTTCCTCGTCGGAGTTGTGATAATTGTAATTTTGTCCTGTTATCGGTTGAATTCAATCGACTCTGTGCATTTTGGAGGTTGATTTGGTTGGGAAAGTTGATTTTCTGGCTCGTTTGTTCTACTTTGAATGGATTGAGCTTCCAATTACAAGAAGCTGTTCTTGATATTTAGTATACTGTTGGTTTTTGAAATGTTGGTGAAAAATTATTAGGTGTTTGTTTGAATTTGTTTATGCTCTTTTGATACTTTAGGCTGCAGGTTTATGCGTAGAAATTCTATTCATATCCAATTTTTGTCGGTTTTATAGTTTACTTCTTGATGAATTAGTGATGTTCAAGATTTGGCATGTCGTGTGGTTCGAATTGTTGTACTTCTATTCAAGGTTTATCTAGTTTGAGAAGTTGATTGGTTGACTTATTTGATCTACTGTTGCAATGGGTCATTGTCGACTAAACCTTTGAATAGTAATTGCGTCAAGAGCGTATGAAATCATAAGGTGTTATTGATTTTTATCCTATAGAACATCCATGGTTTTTGTAAGTTTGAGTTTACCAACAAAAACTACCACAAAATATCTATTGAATATGTTTGGCAATGCTTTTACTTTCCTGAATGTTGAAGGAAAAAGATTGGATGTGAAGTTTCCTTAAAGTTGAAGAAAAAATTGGATTCATTTAATTTGTTAAATTTCGGTGTGGAATTGAATGCTCAAAGACATAGTGCTTGTTTAGAAATTTATGTTAAATACTAATTCTGGTCATTAATGAGAACTAGCTTGCCCTTAAGTTTCCAGTTTACATGTCCATGTTTATCGACAGGCTAATAATTATATCTCCATGTAGATCTGTACTATTCCATTAGATACTGCCAAAGTCCGGCTGCAATTGCAGAAGAAAGCTGTCGCTGGAGATGGTTTGGGTTTGCCGAAATATAGAGGATTGCTAGGTACAGTTGGAACTATAGCCAGGGAAGAAGGCTTATCAGCGCTGTGGAAGGGTATTGTGCCTGGATTACACCGTCAATGTTTGTACGGCGGTTTGAGGATTGGATTGTATGAGCCCGTATGTTTTCTCTTTGAGTTTTCCGTATATTTCTTTGTGTTTTTTTTTTTTTTTTTTTTTT